GGAAATTCTGCCCTGCAACCGTTCACCGTGTGATGCTGCAGAGCATCGAGGGCGCCGTGGTAATACACGATAGATACTGCCAAGGCGGGGTGTGATCAGCAGCAGCGGCCGCCAATTCCGTCTAGCAGGCGGGCGACCAGCTTTCGTGAGGGCTGGATCGAGCGTGGAGCGCGTTGAGATGTGGTTTTGACGAAATGTCGTGACGCGCGAGAGGGCGGTGAGGTGGTGCGTTGAGGTGGATTCGCCCATTCAGCCCTCTCAGGCGAACGGCTCGCAGCTACGAGGGCCGGGCAATCCCGGTTTCATGTCGTTCGAACGGAGACGATCCACGACCACTCAAACCGATGGATGTTGCGCATCTGAGGCAGCCAATGGCCAGGCGACTGGCTATTATTACGACCCGGACGACGTGATCAGCATCAGGGTGGCATGGCGGCAGGGTGAAGCAGTGTGGACGCATGGCGAAACTGTCGCAGACTCGGCCTCGGAGAGCAGGCCTTCCCAGCAGACTACTTGGAGGACAGCAGCATGGCAATGGCAGTGTTGCGGCTGGCAACGAGGGCGTCTGCATGCAGCCACCCAAAGTATGGTGTGGAGGCTGCGTCACCACGACAGCGACCACTTGACGACAGCCAGGAGCTTGAGGGCGGCAGAGCAGCCCCTCGGCCAACCACTAGGTGTTGGAGGTTGACTGGGCAGCGACGGATGCGGTGCGCGCCCAACGATTAGACGCATTGCATGAAAGAGCTAGCCCGCTATAAGGCAGTTTATAGTACCACGCCGTTTTGAATTTTACGGGCGGGGGAAAACTTTCGTGTGTCGAAGCCCGAACAACGCCTGCATGCCTGTCTGCTGCACACCAAGTCGCCCGTCATACTCTGCAGCGCCTCGCATATCCCTCATCCCTCTACCTCCCTCGTCTCTTCGCTCTGACTTCCTTCCCCCTTCACCCACACCACGCCCCGCCGCCTTGATGAGACGGTAGCAGCCAGCCCTATGCCCGTGCGAATAATGCGCTTTCGCCGTCTCGCCTGATTGATTGCTTGTCCAGGATCGCCCCGCGACGCTTTATTATCGATAGAGCGCGCTGCTGGAGCCGCTAGATATTTTGCCGACTCCTGTCTTCTCTCTCCCCAAAACAAACGCTGCTACTACTGCTGCCGCTGCCACCATGGCGGAACTGCAGCCTACTGTCGAGGACTGCTACTCGGATGACAGCGAAGGCGGCTCTATCCCCTTCCAGGGCCGCCGGTCGCCCAATGCCGCTAACGTCTCCACCAAGCGCTCGCACCCTTCCGACTTGGATAAACAAATGCCGCCCGCGCAGGAGAAGGCGCCGACCAACATCGACCTTCGCTCCGACTCAGGGTACAGCAGCTACACCACCGCCACCGTCAGCAGCACTAATTCCGCTCAAAGTGCTCCTCCCCAGCGCAGCCCGCCCCAGGTGCCTGCCGCCGCTGCCCCAGCGCCGCCCCAGCCTGAGGCTCCAAAGGCCCGACGACGCCCGACAGACACGACCGAAAAGACTTCCAAGTCCTCTTCGCGACCCAAGACCTCTCGCACCACTTCGTCTGCCTCCAAGCCTCCTGCTGTTGTCCAACCTCAGCCACCGGAACGTAAACGCAGGCCGACCGTTACCCAGGAGTCCCGCCCGGAGCGCAGAGATCGTCGTGACAGCAGAGTTGAACCGGATGGTGCCGAGCCTAGGCGCACCAAGTACGACCCCAACGCCCCTGCCTCAGCTGTCCGTCGTCGCCCTGACATACTGCCATCTCAATCCGCTCGTGACGTGAACCGTCCAATCCCCCAAGACACACGCTCAATGCATTCTGATCCCGCCTCATACCAGCAGGCTCCGCCCTCCCCTACGCACTATCGCCAGGCCTACTACGGACACGGAGCCGCTGTCGTCCAGCCAGCTACGACACGTCGACGCCCGTCGATGAACGGTCGACCCATGAGCTACGGCGGTGAGGCCGGGCCTCAGTACTGGGCTCAGGGTGCACCTGGATATCCTACCCCACCCCCAGAGCGTGGACCGCCTCCTTCCAGCTCTGCTCACTACTCGCGAGGTTTTCCAATGCCTCAAATGAGCCAGATGGGTCCTCCACAGACGCCCTACGGAATGCCACCCGGCTACCCCCCTCAATTCTATCAGATGCCGTACGATGACGGACAGAGGCCAGGCATGCCACAGCGCAGCTCTTCCAATGCCGCACGTCGAGGACCTGCACCACCTGTCATCAATCAGGCTCCGCGCGACCAGCAATACTCAACTAGGTACGGCCAGACTCAGATGACCCACCCCCGAATGCCGGCTCCATTGCAGCTCGACGATAGAGCTCACGAGAGCGATACCGATTCGGAAACTGGGTCGTCTGAGGATGACGAGTACTATGGGTCTGAGCCTGAGGTCAATCCCAATGACCCACGGGCCCACCGTGCGCTTATGCCCCCTCCAAAGGCTCCCAAGACCAAGTCGAACACCAAGACCAAGCCCAAGACGAAGAAATCGGAACGACCTTCCTTGCCTCACGCTCACACTACCACAACCGTAGAGCAAGTTCGTAGCCACCGCCATTCGATGTCCACTCCTCCCGTTCTTGTCGACGAGCGCTCCAGCCGTCATCGGCCTACCAAAAGCACTAACGAGGCGTCTCGCCGGCAGTCCATCAGCCGACCTCCACCCCCACCGCGCGAAACACAAACCGAATACCCCGCACGGCGTGGTTCTGTCTATGTGGGCGATAGCACCAAGGCTGAGCGGCGTCGTTCCGCTCACTACGGGCAGTCTGCCAGGGATAAGGAGTATGCACAGTATGCCGCAGAGAGGCAGCAGGAAGATGCACGCCTCGAGGCCGAAGAGCGAGTCAGGAAAGAGCTCAAAGCTGCGGCCCGTGCCAAGCGTGAAAGACAAGCTCGAAAACAAGCGGAAAACGAAGCTCGCTATGAGGCTGAGCAGGAGCGCAAACGCGAAAAGCGCAGCTCGAAGGTCTACTACCAGCCTCCCGCGGCGTTCGACGATAGCGACGAGGAGTATGAGTCTGATGAAGCTGTCGCTCTCGTCGTTCCCGAAGCACCGGTGCCTCCTCGCCATCGCCGTCCTACTGACGCTGGGGTGCGCAAAGCCAAAGAAAGTCAGGCTTTGGACTACATTAATAGCCAACGTGGCACGGATGTTCCGTTGAATGATCACATTCATCGTGCTGCAAAGAGAGCTTCGAGGGTTCCTTCGATGCCCTCTCATTCCGGCTCCTCTGGAAGTGATAGGCAAAGCCAGTCTAACCGTACTGCTGTTACCAGCAACGGTAACAACGAGATTCGCCTCCGAGTTGACGCGAATGCCCCGCTCAGCCTGCAGTTCAATGGCGACATGGAGGGTCGCACCATGCAACTTATCCCAACTGAGGACGGCATGGCAGAGCTCGTCATCAGTGGCAGTCGTGATAACGAAAGCAATCATCACAGCAGTGAGAGGGGCAGCAACGCAGGTGACGGACAGGCACTTGTAACGCGCAGCCAGCTAGAAGAGATGACCAAAGGAAGCATGCGCAGCCACCGTAGTAGGCGCGAAAGCCGAGTGGTACGAGATTCTTACGACGATCGGATTGTTGAGGTTCAGCGACCTTTGCGCCGCCGCGCCAACACCAGTTCGTATTACAACTGAGAATCTCCGAACCTCCAACACTCGCGCGCGAAACGAAGATGCGTAGCTCGACTTTGGTTTTCTTCCTTGCAGGCCACACGTACATGCCTATCCTCAGTCCCGCGCGGCAAATCTCTTTCCTTTCTTCATATCTTCATTGGGTGGATGAATTCCATATCAAAAGCTTTCTACGAGCGCGGACAGGCCTTTTTGGCCGACCTGCTCAACAAAAAAGTTCGGATCGGTCTCTTCATCGAAAGTTTGATTTTGGCACTATTGCCCACTCGCATTTCATGTTTGTATGTTTGCTGCGTTCCCTGCGACAGTGCAGGTCACATTACTATGGTTTGCTAGACTGGGAGACGCTCACGCACACCAACATCTAATGCGTAAGGGCGGTCACCGCCATTGAACTTCTTGTTTGGACCGATCAGATTGTACGGTTATCTTCTTCCTGCCTTTCGTCGCGCCCTTTTTTGAGCGTTCCCCACATTATTCCCCCCTTCTTCTTACTTCTTCTTTACTCTGCACTATACCTGCTCCTCGCGGAGGCTTTTCGGCACTTTTTTCTCGATTTTGGCGGATGTAATACCCTTATCTCCTTTTCTACTTGTTATGGCTGGATCATGTACGTGGCAGAAATGTTTGGTGGGGTTTCCTTTTTTTCGTTCCGCTATTTCGCAAAAAAAGTAAGCAAGAGGTCGATGTGTTGGCAACGGCTACGACGCTTATGATGATGGACGTATGGATCATGAACTACGCAGCGATGGATCTTTTGCTCTCTTTTCCTTATCTACATAGCTGAGTTGGGATGGATGGATGGCATGATGGGGTTAATTCAGATCGGATACCGCAGCTAGCCTGCTGGTATCGTGTAGGATATGATCACAATCACATCTCTTCTACCCTCCTCACCGTTACCCTGTACTGGTTCACCGCAAATGTGATACAGGACGCCAGCACTGAGCTGAGCCCGCGTATGTGCTTTTGTCTGACTGCATAGGGCGACGACCTAATTCGGGCTACAGCACTTAGTCGTTTCACCCCCACACTACAACTGCGGGCATGACGCTACCCACCGTTCCTTTTTCCCAAGATTCCAGACCGTGGCTTCGGTACGGTAAGGAAAATGGAAAGTGCCGGTGCTGTACCCATTGGCGTTGGTGTGGGCCTGGTTGCCGAGTGTTTCCGGTGTGGCTGGCCTGTCCCCCTCGCTTGCCTCACTTGTGTTGGGCGAGTGAATGCATGTATGGTAGATTGATGAACACGTGTCGGGGTAGGAAATGGGATACACGTAGACAGCACCGGAATAGACATAGCCAATTAGTCAAGAGTAAAGGGTCTCATTGCTTTATAGCCTCGATGCGTTGTTGGCGACATCGCTGGGTCCCAGCATCGGCTCTGTCTGTTGCTCCTGAACGGACCGCCGTGGGGAAGGTGACCTTCGTTCGCTATCCAAAAGCGCACTGTTCGCATCGTCTATATCTCCGCTTTGAATCGACGACTCCTCATCGTGTCCAGTCGATGTAACCTTCTCTGGTCCGTCAACCCATTCCACACCCTCTGCATCCACGAGTTCCACACCCCACCTAACATCTCCCCGGGCGTCTCTGAACCAACCCAATTTAGTCAGTCTACCACTGTTCGCAAAGCCGTCAACACCCTGCTCTTCAATCAAACCGATCAGCCCCTCGCTTCCAGCTACCATAGCCAGTACGTCTGCCAAGCACTCGACGCGATGTTGCATGCATGAGCTTGGATATACGATCTGCAAGCTCACAACCAGGATAACCAGGATAACGATAAGTAGGATAAGTATGGTAAGCGAGAGCCACGTTGCCGTCTCATTCATAGCAAGAACTTCAACCCGTTTCGTAAACGTCCCATTCACAGGCTCCGACGAAGAGGCTCGCTGGTAGGCTGCTCTCTCAGGCCCTGAAGATGACCAGCGCCCACTGAGACTCGACGACCCGGTATTGATAAAGTGCTTGAAGAAGATTTGTAACGTCTTTTCGGAATGTCGCAATAGCGTTGTTGTATTTAGCAGGGATTCGGTGTCTTTGTTGGCAAGGTTCCAGTTTGCGTAGGACATGAAGTCGACGTTGAGGCCGCGATCCCGGTCGCGAATGTTGAAGCGTTCGCTTGCTGTTTCTTCGATGCTGCGGTTGTAGGATAGCCACGAATGTGCTACGTGAGGTGTGATGATGTGTGGGGCGGTGAGGAGCTGCGTCATGAATAGATGGCCGTAACTAGTAGCGGTGGTGGTTAGCATTTGATTTGTGATGGTCAGGCTCGAGGTAGCCACTTAATTGGACGAATGTCTTACCTGACATTTCCTCTTCCTAGGTAGGTTGTCGGATTAGGGTAGAGGATATCCCAGGCGTAATCCCATGCGTCCAGAGCAGGCTGTGGGTCCGCCACCAAGCTGTAGTCCAAAACGTTCCCAGAACTCCTAGCTACAGTAACACTGGCGGATGTTCTTTCGATGACCATGATACAGTCCAATATGGCCATCTGGGGTTCTTCCGTAAAGTAGAGAAGCTCTTCATCTGCAAAGCCGTACGGCGCGTTGACTTGTTGTACCTTCGGGTTCGCAGCTGGATTAGCTCCAGATATCTTTGCAGTCACACCTGGCCCCACAATCCACTTGATGGTGAAGTTCCGGTACCAAGAGCCATGAACAATAGCGTCTTCTGGTCCATCCTCGCTGAGGGAATCGGACGGCGCATTAGCACTCGTGCAGTTGCCATTGGTAAGTTGTTCATAAGTGCATTCTTGTATGAAGAAATTGGGATCCACTCGTTCAAGCATGGAGCTGTTGCTGCTCCAATACGCAACGACAGCTTGTCGACCTGGATCTGTGCCATTCGTACAGCATGATAACCGTCTCCGGGCCGAGAAGACAGACGTATTGTACGATTCGCCGTCGAATAAAGTAGTTGGTAATGCAAAGCCTTGCAGCGTTTCATTGGTACGATTGGGAAAAACGTCTGCGGCTTGGTCGAGCCAGCCAGAGTCTGGTACGGTAATCGGAGAGCACTGTAATCGGCTTCGAAGAGCGGAAGTGATGAAAGTCGCGTTTGCGGGTGACGCTATAGAATCGGAGCTTGTATGTCTCCCAGAACCGGAACTCGATTTCGAGGATACTGTGACGTTTGGCAGCTCTTTCATATCAAGTGGGGTAAACGTCCATTCGTCTTTAGTCCACGCCAGTTGCGGTGTTTCTAGAAGGATCTCGTCCAACGCGTGGTAGAGCCACTGCATATTGGATGAGTCCAACATATGTTCGTCTAAGTCGAAATTGCGCGTACGTTCGCCTGGGTTGAAAAATTCGATAGGCTCTTGTAGAAGCTCAAAAGGTGCTGTCACCCAAAGTGTATCAATATGTGATGGGTCCCAAGTTTCCCGACTGATCAATGCAGTTTGTTTTTCGAAGACGGCTGCCATGGAGATAATGACTACACGGTTAGCTACACGACTTAACGGGGCGAGAAAATGCTTACGAATTTGTGACAAAGTTGTACCGGTAGTTATGAGACATAGCATCCAATGTTTCCGCGACGCTGATTTTGCCGCTGCCCATACCCAGTACGAAGACTGGTAAGTCAACGATGCTCCTCGTGTTGGGACTACGGGTCTCCGCGACAACGAGAGATATGGCTGCAGAATCCGCATAGGCTTATCGATACCATCCCAACTCAATCCAATGCAAACGGCAATTAGCGTTGCAATGACGGAGTGAGGAGAGAATGACGTGTCGAATAAACCCAAATCGACCTGGTAGGTAAAAGCAGTCTGGGAAAGCTTATCTTCTCGTGCATATCTGCGAAGAACGAACATGGTTATTGCGATAGCGACCAGAGTAGCCAGTAGTGTAAGAAGCCACCGTTTGTGGAGCATTGAAGGCCTCCAGTCATCTTGAAAGCCATCTTTTGATCTGGGATGGCTTACTGAAAGCTCGCTTGTCTTGCCGAGTACACTCAGTTTTCTACCTTCAATCGACTCCTCTGTCGTTCGGTTCTCCGAGATGATGCCGCCTTGTAGATGATAAACCCGTGATTGGATAAGACTTTGCGTGCGCGATCTTTCATATTCAAGGAATGTGCTGAACGTGGTAGAAGAAAGCGAAGTACTGCCAAGGAGGGATGATGTTCCAGCAACAGTGGCAGGATCCGAATGGAGGTTGAGTGGTCTTTTCCTGGGCGATGTGTAGAATACAGCTACTGCAATGTAGCCTGCCAAGAGCATGAACAATACTGAGAGTGTTATTGCAACCTCAGTGACGACCAGGATCCGTCTCCTAACGCGTGTAACAAGCCCTTTTGTATCTTCCAACTGCGGGTTGTCGGCTTCTATGAGAGAAGATAGCAAAAGCTCTTTTGTGAAGTGCATCCGAAGTTTGCTAGCTTCTTCCTCTAGAGTGACGTTCTCCAAAATATTAGACACGTTGTGAGCGAAAGTTGAAGCAAGAAGCAACGATATACCCTCAAAAGAACCATGAACGTTACGAGGTACGGCCATGTACTGAAGAGGTAGAGGTACGAAGTCAGTATATGTCTCACATGCACTTCGTACCGTCAGAACTCACCTTGTCCCAACTGTCACTGCGAAAGGTGAGATCATCCAATAAGTCGAAAGCGATGGCTTGTTCTGACACAGGCTGCCTGTGCCGCTCAAACTCTGATACATCGTAGGACATGGAAGTTTCAGCGCCGTCGATAGCTGCAGAGACTGGTAGACTAGCTGCATGATATTCCGGAGTGCATACTTGTGCCCGTATCGTGAGGTTGTCCCATGAATCTTTCTCCCATACACCCCTGGGCACATCGACAGGTGACGGCCGGACAATCCATTGAGGCGATACAAGTAGCAGGTCGCGCCCAATGCATTGATCGGAGAAATTATAAATGAACGTGCGAGACCATTGCTCGAGGACCTTCTCCCCAATGGAGCGAATTGCTGGAGGCTGACCGTAGTCTCGAATGAGTGTCTCCCACGACACGTAATTGGAAGACATGTTCGTCCAGAGCAATCCACCATCATCTGTAAAGGTATCGCTGATGAAGCCATCGGAGGTCAACTCGGCTCCAAGAGCATCCCATTGAGCGATTGGACCTTGAATTTGGACCTCACATCCATCCTCTGATCGAATTTTGAAACCCTTTGAGGAGACAGTACATGTGTCATTTGGACATGACGTTATCGGGATGTCTGTATACTTGTAGGTAATATCAATTATGTCCTTCTCGACCAGAGCCATCGATGTGCAACTGTAGTTCAGATGGAACACCTCAGTATCTGCTTGCCATATACCGTTCGGAAGCGTTGTATGGCGCTTGTCGCCATCTGATGCTCCAAAAGGCACAATGACTTGCGAATTTGACGACCAGATAGATGTAGATACGTTGAAGAGATACCCACTTATAGTTCGGAGATACGTATCCCTTCGAGGTGAAAGCTGGATGGGTGACAAGCCTTTGCCAATTGTCTGGCCAGCGGCATACCGTTGAAGCTGCACATCCTCCTGATACAAGATTTCTTTTGCAACGAATATTGACGACGAGAAGGTTGAAATGCTGAGCACACTGATACCAGCTGCGAGCGAAGACAAGGCCAGATTCCATCTCCGGTGGCCGCCGCTCCGCTTTCGAGAGAAACCTATAAAGATGCTTTTCCACCACACCTTGGGCAGATAGAATAGGGTGAACTTGGCTTCGATAGATTCGGGGTCGGCCATGCGTGCGTATGCTTCAGTCCTCTTTACGTCCTCTGCAACCTGGACAACAGCCTGCGTGAAGAAAATGGCGACGATAGTGGGCGTATATCTCCATCCAATGAGTAGTCCAGTAGACCCATCCTCATCTCCGAGTCCATGATTTTTATAAGAGTGCCAGCTAAGGGTTGCTAATACGGTCGAGAGTATGAGTGATGCTAGGCTAAGAGTGATCAGGTATGGGCGCCGCAGCGTGTATGGCACCCAATCTGTGGACGTCCGCAGGCTTTGAGTGTGAAATTTTGCTTTGAGCTCGTCAGAAGATGTCGGACATAGTAACATGGGGTACTCGGTATTGCACTCACGCTCATGGGCATCATCCAAGTTCCTTGTCTGTGGCTCATCCAGCGAGTGGTCATCCACTGCTACACTGAGTGCGGTAGATGCTCGGCTGGAGAGGAGCGTCTCGTTCTCCTGAGCAGCATGAGGAGACGAATCCATGTGTTCGCGTTGCTCTTGAGCTCGGGATTCAGGCCTGCGAGTGCGGTCAACGCTGTCGCCGTGTTCGGCGTGCTCATGCTGCGTGATCCCACTTAAGGTATCGCTCTCTGGAAGCGATATCCATGAATAGCGTTCGCGCGGTTCTGACGATGGACTAGTGTTTGAATGCGACATGCTGTTCGCGCATTAAACTCCGGACTGCGGCTCCCACGCAGGTCATAAGGCAGTCTGACTGGAATTTGTAGATCGCGCAGAGCACCTAGGTATTGGGAAGACATATCTAGAGGCTGAGTGCATTCAGGCAACCATAGTAACCCCAGGAAGGCTTGGCTCCATGTTACGCGCTGCAGATGCAGCGGTCACAATCAGCAGCATAGCCTCGTTACGCCCGGCGACCCACTCATGGCGGCCCAATCTCCGCTGGTTACCTGGCAGAGCCTCTTAGTCTTGAAAGCCGCCAGACATATAAGACGCGGGCTTTGATTGCCCAGTAATAATGCGAGAGAGATCTGTTTGTATGGGACAAGACGGAAGTCGCGAAGTGCGGAGGAGATGCCAAGGTTCCACAGGGGGTCAGCGTCAGCGCTAGAGCCCAAAGGGGAAAGCGTTTGAGGGTGGAATTGCCCAGGTGTCGATCGACGATCTCGTGAGCCATCATACAACATACGACTTCGAAAGCTTCTATCTGCTATCTTCAACCATACAGGCGCCTTGGAAGGTTTGGGTAAGCTAAACACTACAACAAAAGCTGTCACATCGCTAGCCAGATGCATGCTGCACATTTATATTGCGCTGATTTCACTGGCTCTGACGCGTTCCAGCGCGACCAGATGCTAGACATCGTCACACCTAGTGTGCGAATGTAACCTACTACTACCCGCAATCCTGTCTTTCAGAGTTGTCTTGCGAGATGGACGGTGAGTTCCTCCACTCGCACGAGTACGAACATGATGCCATCCCGATTGCAAGCCCGCGTCAGCCTCCGGCCAAGGATCCTCGCCCTCTTTAGCGGCAACTCGTTATTCGCGCGAGATTGACGATAGCGCACATCTCGCTGGTGTAACATAATAAACCACGTGCTGTTTATATCGACAACCTTATTGTTGGTTGAACATCGAGCCATCCCAACCATACGCGCGAGTCAGCCTTGCACCCAACGTCCGCATCATGGCAAGCGACATCTCGTTGCCCGGATGAGGCTCATGGAAACAGATGCCCCTGTCAAGACCTCTGTCCTGTCTGAGCTGCTCCGATGGAGTGAACTGCCACGCAGAACCTTGCATTTGTTCAGCGGAGAAGCCGAGATGGGTCATCGTCGTGCGAAGAGCCGTCCACTTGGTCACTCCCGGTACTTCATCCTCATCTGGGATGAAGAATAGCGCTTTGAGGACCTTGTATGAGTTGTCTCCGAGACGGGCCCAAGGTCGGCGAGGATCGACAAGTGTATCAGGAGCAAGCTCATCTTCAAACCCAAGCTCGTCGGCGGGCACCGCGGCAGCTGCCCCACGGGTCTTGTCTTTTGCTTTCTTGGTGATGGCAAATTTGTCCAGGTTTCCGGTAATTTCTTTCGATGGATCGTGGAAGATCTGAGACACCGGCTGAAGTTCGAGGATATCATCCGCCGAGAGAGGACCGATCTTTTTCTCGCAACGACAGTCTACCCACGCTTTTGTTCGACGCATAGCACCGCGCTCTTCGAGAAGACGCTGTAAGGTTTCCTGGTCCTCGCCTCCAGATAGGTTCCGGAAATCTGTATCGAAGCCATTCCAGAACCTGTCCAAATTGGCCTCCGCCTTACGCAGCGCATCAATGACCTTCTTCTTCCGCCTACTATCTTCGTAAGGATACGTGAATTTTCCATCGGAAGGATCACCAAGTTCTGGGGAAGTGATAAACCCAGTATCCATGGCCGCTACGAGGACACGGTCCCACACCTGCAAGGGCTCAGCCACACGTGAGTTGACCCTGGCTTTGACGCTTTCGGTCACTGCTAGCATCTTCCAGACTTTGAAGTTCCACGGTTGGAGTTCAAGGAGATGTGAGCACTCCGTCAGAACCGAGAGCCGTGTAATGGCCTCTTTGATTGGCGTGCTAAGCAGGTCTCGTACTTTGGGCTTCTTTTGGAGGAAAGTCTCTAGAATATCAAGACGTACTCGGATTTCAAGGAAGGACATAGTATGCTCGCTCTTGTTGTTGAGTTCACCACATAACTCTTGAAGGAGAAGGCAAATTTCCTTCTTGTTCTGATCTTTCATGAAGTCCTTGAGTGCTGACAGGTGTGATCCGGTTGACAGCGGAAGCCTCACAAACTGCGATCGAAGTTCTTCGCTAGCCGAGTATTGACTCATTTCTTCGAGAACGTCTCGCTTCATGAGCTCGAGTAGTACGTGGAACGACTGGACAACCTCCACGAGTTCTTCGGGTTCGAGTGACCAAGCGCGCACACCTTCCGGGTGGACAGAGAAGAGTTCACCGATACGCCGAGCATAAGCGTCAAGTTGATCCCAACATATCAGCCGTCGGTGATAACGAGCCACTAGGACGTTCAGGGTGCTAGTGATGAAGCCTTTGCTCTTGAAATTAGGATGCGCTTTGCCCAAGCGATCGGCCACCTGAGCAACGTCGTGGTCAACAGCACTGGTGTAGGCTTTTTCGAACTGCGCTGGATCTTCCCGAAGTTGCCAAATCTCATCCTTGGCCGTATTAGCTGCGTCGGACGTCCAGCGACGTAGTCTGTGTAGATGAAGACCATGGCGACCACGGTAAGGTGTCGTAGCGGTAGCCTCGGAGAACGCAATGTCCTTATCCTCTTCATCAACGATGTTCAGCGCGTCAAGCTCTGGGTCATCGATCTCAGTGTCGAGTAGTTCCAAATGATCCGACAAGACAATTCGAACGCACTGGAGCAGGAAAGAGTAGAGGAACTGCTGAGCGTGTAGAATTTGAAGACCATTGGCAAGGGCTAAGCCAAATCCATCGTCTACAAAGTCTATAGCCTCAGTGACACTCTCAAATTCTTCCGATTCGCCGTATCCGTCCCTATCGGAGAGGCGGATCACATGTGAGGGCGCGCGATAATCGTCCGTAAAGCCCAAAGACATGAATAAGCGCTCGGTTGTGGCAAAAGTATGAGGTGGCTGACGACTACGAGCCTCGACTAGAGCTGAGAGTGTTGTCTTGTCGCCCAAGTCCTCAAGATTAATGAACGGTAGAGTTCGTTCCAAAGAAGGTACGCCGGAAAAGGCCACCAGGGAGTGGTAGCCGTCCTCGCCGAAGCACTCGGGACGATGACATCTGGGAATATCAGGGTATACTTGCTGGAGTATTCCAATTCGTTGGTGCGCTCTTTTTGCAGCCCAGCGTGTTGCGAAAACCCCTGACTGTGGCGACAGGATGTTGCGTAGCTGGATCTGTTCGTGAACGATTTCGGCTCCAAGGTTCTTGGCATAGTACGTGATATCGCCGATAGGGTAGCCAGTTGTCAAGTTGGGGTTGTGAATGATAGCGAGGATCTCGTTCAGGCTCCTGGTTGGGGCGGAAGTGGGCATGTTGAGAGTAACTATTTGCCCTTCGTGAAGGCCACTGGCAGTGGGAGATATCTTCTGGCAATGACCGGATAGATTTCCTGATGATCGTTATGTATATGATAACAAAACTCTTAAAGCGAGTAGATATACACATTGTGGGTGATAGTGAATTCGACAGGCACCAAAGAGTTGGCGGCCTTGCATTACGACATTAGGGCCGTCTACCCCTCCTGAAGGCGACCCGCTGCTCGGAGGGGGTGGATAATTTAACTTGTCTTGCACTAGTTCTACGGTTACTCGCGCTTATGTGTAGTCGAGAAGCAAGCACCAAAGTGAAGTGTGCAGTCATTATTGCAGCGGTAGTAAACAAGGACGAAGGCAGATACTCTAGCAAGAGCAATCGCAGTGCAAGCGTTGCTAGGCATGACTCGAACAGGTAGATTGTCTCTCTTAAAAGGAAAACAAGCGCCCCAGATACCTAAGATAACAACCAAAGAAAAGACCAATCAAAGCAAAACCGAAAGAAAAGGGCTTTCCAAGTCTCCAAAACGGAGCAGCTGGGTTGAGTAATCGTATGCTCAAGCAGCAGCACACACCACGTTGACTCCATGACCTGCAACAGCATCGATGACACCCTCAGCATCCAAAGCTTCAAACAAGCCGACGAATGTAGCCGTCCACTCACGTCCTTCATCTCCGGCGCCTCGATTGAAGACGAAGTCTTGGACTCCGCCGCCAGTACCACCAAGGTCTTGCTTTAGTCTCGCGCCATTGTCGTCTGCCCACCCTGCCCCCCATACAGTATACTCCCCACCACCGAACGACGGTTTGACGCTGCAGCCAGCCGATACGGACTCTGGCTCGGGAGCTGGAACCCCTGGCGGGGTTGCTGGCATGTATTCAAGACAGTCGCTGGATCCGGTACCATCATCCTCGCTACTTACCTCCGGGTAGCAGTCGTATCTGACGCGATGTGCGTCTTCGTCTGCTCCGTTCCAGATCATGCGAACCTCGGTCCCTGGTTTATGCACCCAGCTTGACTTGTCGGACTTGAGATATTCACGAATCGCTTTGACTCGCTCAATTCCGGTTGAGTCACGGAACTCGGAAGGGATATCGTCCATTCCTAAGTATGTCGCAATAAGTCCGCCAACAGCAGGAGCAGCTATGTGTATAGTTAGCGATCCTATCATGGGTACGGGCAAAGTAGCTCACCGACGGAGGTGCCCTGGAAGGTTTGACTTCTGCTGTCCCTCGTAAGGGAAAAGACCCGGTCGCCAGGCGCGTAGATAGATAGCTGAGGTCCACCCTGCGAGTCTTCGACTCGATCTCCCGAGATTTTCGCGGCACCGACATTGATGATGGGTGTCATATCCGGATGTTCCAGAACCTGTGGCAGCAAATCGATGTCCTCACGGGTCCCCAGCTCTTCATCACGCTCATTGCCCGCTGCGAGGACGATCGGTGTCCCAAGTCCAATTATATCGTCGATTGCACTCAGTAAATCTTTTCCTTGCTTGGTTTGCAAAGCTTGTTCGCGTGTAGTTGACCCGGTAATGGCTTGGGAAACCACGACAACGCTGCTGAGAGCTCGATCCTTATCGCGTATGTCGGTGAAAGCCAGCTTCAGACCTTCGAGGAGATCGTTGGCGGTATGGAGTATCTTGACAGGAACGATTTTGGCTTGCTTAGCTATGCCATATCGTTGTCCTGCAGCTTTACAAGCCATCATTGTACCGTGTGAGCCTTCTCCAGGCTCACCGTCAGAGGGTGCATCGTCGTCCGTTTCTTTTGACTGTCCATTCGCTTTTGACGTTTCGGTCTGTAGAATGTCCTCTACATCGACGATGAGTTCGTGTTTATCTTTGAGGTTGCCCTGGCGCGTCTAAGTCAGCGTAATCGAGAGGCAGACAGTAGAATTACTGACATTAGTTACGCCAATTGCCACGCCCTGGTCAATGATGTATATCCAAGTGCCCTTTCCCGCGTTGGTATCGTAGATGAAGCTTTTCAGATCACCACCCAAGCCACTAGGTAGCTTAGTCAGCTGTCGCAGTGATCTCAAAATTTTACAACACTTACTCGTACCTGCTGTCCTCCATCAAATCCTTCGTGGCTCTTTGTTGTCTCTTCCAAGTGATTGATCTCTTCGCGATCATCTTTGTTGTGTCGTACAATGGTGATGATACCTCGTCGTTCTCAGTGAGATTGAAACCGTGCGAAATGTCTTTAGTAACAGCTCGGCATTTGATGAGCGGCTGTGATATATCCAATTCCGGGAGGATGCCGGGATACTGTGCCACTTCCAGAATGTCCTCTGGACTCAAATGCAATGGGCCCCATCTCAGCCTTCCAAAAGACTTGATCTCATAGACATCCTCTCCAGGCTTGGTCTTGGTTTTGAGGTACGCGAAGATCTTTGCATTCGCCTCAGTGTCCTCCGGATCCTTGGCCACAGCCCACCACGTTGTCGGTTTTGGAGGTACCTTCCTCTTCGTGAATCTCTGTTTCCGCTCCTCGTAACTCACACCGGGGATATCGAGGTCACTCCAACCCCGGAGATCATCAACCGTCTCGCCTTCGATCAGGGACAACTTCCAACACGGCTTTCCATTGGAATCGTGGGTTTTTTCGACACGGTCTCCGTAGAAAGCCTCTAAGTTACACTCCGTCTCTTCATCGTTGCGATCACGACTGAATTCATCTGTGGATGGGTATACGAAGATAGTGGCTGTAATTGGTTCCACGTTCGAAGAGATGTCGACCTCCCTGTTGTTCCCGTCAGGAGACGGACTTGCAATGACCGCTGGTATCAACGCAAGGAACAAGAGATGAAAGCGCATGATGTGAAATTGATGGGACAAAGTTTTTGGGACAAAAACGTATGGAGGAGTTTGGTAGTGAAAAGATCGTGGGATCTTTGAGATGTGAGATGGCTCAATGGAAGATAGCAACACTTCGATGTGTGCCCGCTCTTATAGACACATTGCGACGCTCGAGATTACGATCCTGCTATACTTGGAGTTTTACTTCGCCGTCTTGATGTCCAAAGAAAGACCATGTTCAAACGTAGAAGTCGGCGCCTAGGAGCTATGACAGCATACCTGTCTTGAGCACTATCCATGATGAGGTCGCTTTGGACCTGATTCGAATGAAGCACAATGAATCTGCGACCGGAATCGACGACAACCGATGCAAACTTGTGGCGGCGGCACCTACTGTCGACGAAGAAGTGGGGGGAAAGTGATGTGGTTCTGTGCCGTAATGTGAGCTCATTTTACCCGTGAGAGCGCTAGGCGATTATGTCTACTACTACTACTGCGTCTATTCCAGCCCGTTCTAACCTTAATATTTAAGTATGCAGGCTATCCTTTTTCTACAAAGTAGAACTGTAGTTTAGTTAATAGTACCTTAGGTGTGTCTTCGCGAACTATAGTGCCCCTCTAGCCATATTGTAGTTGCGCAGGCGGCAGCGAGCACAAAAGCAATGCGCTAGACTAATCTCCTCTCCATCCATCACACACTCAGCCATGACTAAGGCGATTATGTCAGACAGCAAGACCGACATGATTGGCCCACTGCGGCCCCACTCTGACACGCCCCAAAATAGAGTAGGCTCACTCGTTTGCACTTGCATCTGAATCCTTCTCTCCGCCTTGCGTAGAGATATTTCAGGTGCATGGCATAGCAGCCTCGCGTGCGTTGAACTCGATGGCAGTGTCAATATGAAACGGACTACTGCCGTCAGCAATGTGCCGCTGGCGCTGGCACTCATCAAGGTAGTACGAAGTCAGTCCGATGGCAGTCACCATGAATGATACTTCAGGTAAATCGAGATCACACTTCCGGGGCGTTTAGGGTCATCGCAATGCAGGTAGTCACCGAGAACTGGCCAAATAATGGAAAGGATAACATTGAGCTACTTACGTCCGATGTCACCACAGATGATTACGTGCCTACGTAATTCTTCTCGGATGTTGTTCGACTTGGTACCCCCTCTAACTTCGACTCTTCGACCCGTTTATCACGATAGTCCACATCTTGAGTGAAATGTATATACCAAAGCTCTATGAACGCCATGACCGTATTTTATACCATCGCAAAAGTGACAAATAGTGTTTCCTTCTACTCTGTCCCCAAGAAAGAGACATTCAAGCAAGTTGGAACATCTCGCCCCTCCAGCCATACGTCCTCGCAAGACGCCGACCAAAGCGTCGAGCCCATGTGAAAGGCAGCTTGTGTGTCGGGTGAGGCTCATGGAATTGGATGGGCTGCTGCACATCTAGGTTTCGCGGGGTAAACTGCCAGGCGGAGCCTTGCAGCTTCTGCGCGGCGAATCCAGTAGCTACCATGGCGTATAGGAAGTCGTGCCAGGGGATATCACCAGGATGGTCGCGCGAAAATGGTGAATGGAATAAGACCTTGAAGACTTTGTGCGCGCGCTTATCGAGACGGAAGGTCGGTTGTTCGTCGATGTTGGTGGGAGCAGCTGGCATGTCGGGGTTGTTCTCGTAACCATGTTCGGCTGCCAGACCGTGTGATTTTGCTTTCTTGGTATTGTCCAGGTTAATCTTGTCGAATACGCCGGTAACCTGTCTTGTAGGGTCGTGGAGGTCGTTGGATATTGGAATGTATACGTATTCGACGGGCGTAGAGGGTCCGGAGGTGCCGTTGGGCTCGACCCAGAGTGGTGTGCGCTGTAGTTCACGCTCCTTGATCAGACTGGAGACTATGTCGTGAGGCGTAGTACCGGTACATTCCCTGAAGCGAGCGTCTGTGGCATGCCAAAACGCATCCAGGGCCGCCTCCGCGCTCCTGAGATTTTCGACGTTCATCCTGCTTCGGCGCTTGTTGATTGGATAGCGAAACTTTGGGCCTGGCTTTCCGAGATCAGCGAGGTTGGTTCCCTCGAAGGTTGTGTTCAACGTTGAGTGCCACCTAGAGAGGTTGATAGCATAGGCTGTTATGAGTTCTGTCTGTCGCTGTTTGGCCAAGTACTGAACTCGCTTTGCCCATGGTAGGAAGAAGCTGAGTTGACGAAGACATTCTGAGACTATGGACAGCTTGGAAAGGAGGGAAGCTACGAATGGGGACGTCAAGTCTTTCGCTCGCTCGTTCTTTTGAAGGACATTGTCCAGTGTCTCCACCAGGGTGTGCACCTTCAACGACTGTCGGACAGGCGGCTCCCAGAGGTATTTGAATAGCGTGAAGACGCGCTCCAGCTCTTTGTCACGCCTGCGAACAACTTTTCCGGTGAACTTGATACCCACTACCATGTCTTGAACGCTGTGATTGCATTCTTGGGAGAAATAGGCGCGAATCTCCAAAGAGGACGACCAGGCTAGCCTCAGCTCTTGTATGATCTCCAATTGGAAGAACTCCAGAAAAGACCATGCCTCAACAAGTGACTCCAAGAAGTCTTCTGGAAGCTCTTCTTTGCTACCAAACTCTCCAAATCCAAGCTCATCTTTGTATAGCAGGGAAAGACGATTGAGCTCGGAAATACGCTGTCGCACTTCGTTCCACATGAACAGGTCAATGTAGCAGTCGGTGGCCATGCTGTGCAATACACGCGACCAAAGAACTTCATCGTACCCACCCCGATGTCTTGTTCCGCAACTGATACCTGGCAATAGCTCAGGCCGGTGTTCTTTGTGTTCAAGTGTAGAGTCTCGAAAGTATCCTGGGTCCTCTCCAAGCAACCAGATATGGTCTTCGGCCGCATTCTGACATGCCGACACCAGTGCTTCAAGTCGGCCGAGATCCTCTAACGTGGGTACACGATAACAGGCTTCGCGAACAATGGCGTTGAGCGAGGTGAAGTCCTGGTCGCTGCAAGTCAAAGCTGGAGGCTCGGGCATATCTGCGGCATCCTCATCGAGAGAAGAGATAGGATTATCTCTAGACCTTAGTTTGGTGTAGGCTGATTCTACTATCGCGTTATCCTCCATGATTTCGCCGACACACGATAGAAGGAATTGGAGTATCGTCTTCTGCATCGACAGAATATGTGAACCAGGCAGAGGATGTATGGTATCTCCCCTGATCATCGATTCAGCGGCCTCGGCTTCCGTGTTGCACTCAATTATCCGACTGTATTTCTCGTTGTTGAGCCCCATAGTGTACTTTGTCTTCTCAAGAAGCGCTGGTCGTAGATGCATGAGAGGAGCCAATTCGTAATCGAGAAAGGCAAATTTCCACATTGGGTGTCGGCCACGAGCGTTGAGAAGGATGAGCAACGGATTCGGCTTGGTGAGGTCCTCAAGGTTGAGGTGAGGAAATGCGTACTGCGCCAGGCTATGCGAATGCCTTTGATGCGGGCACGTATCAAGAACGGACCTGTCGATATCCGGGCGATGGTTTGTCGGTAGCCCCCCTGACGGCCAAGCCTTATCTAGAATGACTCTCCGCTGTGCTTCCGACTTCTTGAGCCACCGCGCGCGAATGTCGCCTTCGGACTTGATCACAATATAAGAAAGAGTTGACCAGAGCCAAAGATTGGCCACCAGAGCATCGCACTCTGCGTTTGCATCGATAATGTGCTTCAGTGGGATCATGAGGGCTTGCTCCCAGCATAGTGGTTCCATTTGTATGTCCTTATCGCATGGGTCGTCTTCTGGGCAGCCGAAGTAATGGTGTACGTGCTCGAAGTAGTGGAAGATACCTGCTCTTGTGAATGTAAGACCGCCAGACCTTGTACCTTTGAGTAGCGCCTGGCGCAGTGCCTCAGAGGCTTTGGGTTCAGGCAAAGACTTAAGTGATTGCAGCCACTGCCGGTACTGATCAGTCGACTCCATGTCTGGGTCGATTGGCGATGGCGATACAAGTTTTAGGGCTCTCAAGAGAGGGGTGAGGAAACTGAACGAAAATTGCATCGTTGTGCGCAGACGTGGAAAAAAATGACTCTAGGCGGCAGCGACCGGTTTTCGCAAAAAGGCGCAAGTGAGAGGAGTTTACCCTAACTCGCGACAGCAAACGGGCTCCGGGCGAGCGCTCACATATCGCTACATGACTGCGCTCACCAACGCGGCGACATAGTCTTGCATCAGCGACAAAGACCATGCTGTTGAGCTGATTGCGCAAAGCGACATGTGCCTACCTGATGTCGTCTACCGGGGCAAACATACCAGAATTGTTCGCTATTGACGTTTGGTGGTTGAAGTGAGTCCAGCGGGTAGGTCGGTTGTGGTCCTCGTAGGTGTCGCTTCCCTCGACTACCAGAACCCACCCAAGGAAGGTGCGCCTGTTGACGCGAAGCCTCATTCTCCTCTCTTTACACCCCGACTACGACCTACCCCACTTTCTCTCACTTTTTTTCGTCGCGTCGTCGATCAAGTTGCGGTGAAAGCCCTTCAACAGTCGGTCAGATAACGCGCGGAATATCGTCGGAAAGCGGCAGACGATCGGGAAACCACAGCGACATCTCCAGACCACCATCTCGCTAATGGCGCAACCCGCTTTCGGATGCGACACGGATTTACGTATGCGCGACGCGGCGCGGCATCGTACGACTTGCCCTCCGTGGTCCCGGTGAGCAACGTTGCGCAGTATAGCGGCACGCGGGGGGAAGTTTGTTCCGCCCAGGGCTAAGGCAAGGACGAGGATCAATTTCCCCAGATCAGGCTATACGCCAGTCCGGGGAAAGCGGGCGGCGAGGATAAGGCTTGGACGAAACATGTCGGATGTTGCCAAAGAGAAATGGCTACGTCGTGTTACCAACGATGAAACGACATTGAGGTCGCGTTAGCTCGCGCCTAACCCGCGGCTTCCATGGCTTCCTATTCGGCGTCTCGATGATATGATGCCATGACAGGTGAGCTTGGCTCGGGCTATTGCCAGAAAAAAAGAAGCAGAGAAGGTTCGCGCCAGGAATAGTCGCCCGGTAATAATGTCGTTGTATTCAACGACAACATGGACTCATGGTTCGGATGATGCGGAGAGAAACTGCTTGCAGAGGACGCGTCGCTCATCGAGATCGCATCGCGACTGGCGCTGACACGAGTGCTTACGGCGCCGAACCTCTTCGATCAGTCTTCGATCAGCGATTCCTTGGACCTTTGGCGAGAGCAACTTGGATTAGCCTTGCGCAGGGCGGCCAACGCAGGACGCAGAGAGAGGTCTGAGATCTGAGATGTCACTCTTTTGCCGCAATTTCGACCGGTAGAAAAGGGGCGGCACGATGGCACAAACGTCAGTGACGCCTTGGTCGTGACACCTGTCGGCTCGAGCGTCCTTCCAACAGCGTTCTCGAAGCCTCATTCCAGCGGGGCAACCGTTGCATTGCAGAGATTATTTTCCGCGTCGCAACCCAAAACGGCTTGCCTATCTGGGTGCGTCCGACTCACAGGGAGCATGAGTCGATGATAAGCGGTAGAAAAAGCCGTTGCGAATGCGAAAGGCTGTGCCTGGATGGGCATCAAGAAATCAAGCAGTAATGCGCATCCGGTTGATCAAAGGTGGAGAGACAAAGTTCCAGACGCCTCGTCTTCCTTTTCGAGTGGGCGAATCCCAGCCTGCTGGTATCCGGGGAATGCAGCCCGGAAGCTCCACTTACCCCATCTTGCTCTGCCGCAAGCCCTCGCGTGGGATGTGCATACACTTGCATATCGGACAAGCGGTCAGAGAATTGACTTGTTCGGTCCGGCTTTGATGATGCCTTGCTTGCGACAGCCGCCCAAAGGACACTGTGGTGTCTTGCTGGCCCACGTCATACGCTTGTCGGCTCCTACCCGCGGACCGCCGCCGTGTATCGCAAGGTATTGGTTTGCTGGTTCGGGCCGTCTACGATACAGCGATAGGCATCCTTTCTCTACCCAGCAAGCTCCTGATGCCGTCGAGGAATGCGTAGGAGGCTGCAGAAGGGCCTGAGGGCTTGTGCGCCTTGTTTGTCGCATCCTCGCTTCGAGAACATCGTCTCAGACACGTCGATGATGACAGGACGCCCCAGAACAGCCTTGATTCTGCGACCCTGGAACAGGATCAGGGCGTGGGGTGGACTCTGCGCGCCAGGTGCAACGATGGTTGCGAAGCAAAGACTTGCAACCGTCCGCTTCCCCGTGTGGCCGCCGCATTTGATTGCTGATTATACTTTTGCTTTTAGCTCAAAACGTATGGCCCTTCCGAGATTCCGTTACAACCCTGGCTAATGATGCGAGTCAGGGTTTGTCTTTTCGGCGGTGAATAGCGATCGTATCAGTACTTTGCTCTGTCTTGTATAAGAGAGCAACCCCCTTCGGCGCGGTATCGCCCTTTCCAACACATCGCAAGATACAACTCAGCCCTGAGCCCAAGACTCACCTGTTACACATCATCGTTTACTTGACATTTAAAAACCACATCTACGTCAAACCTCTTTGCTTTCTTCAAACACACCACGAAAGCATTCCTCACACACAAGCCTTCTACAACACCGAACTTGTGTAACACGCCTCGTTCAGTGACACGCACCTACCAAAAAGTAAGCCCAGCCCCCTACGCAACACTCTTCCCCATACCCGAGCACCTCAAGTCCGGGGCTCCGCCAAATCTGGCGGCCCTGCATGGCCAACGCACAAACCACAAATCAGCCCTGTCGCAAACAGCCCCTCGCCCTCAGCGCATTCTACCCTGATATATTAAATCTGACTCACCCTTCCTTAGGCTCACACCCCCGTCTTCGTAACCGAGTCAGCCCCCCGAAGTTTTAGTTGTTGTCACAGCCCGAGACAGCACATCACATATCTTTTGCGCCTTCCCCCGAGCGAAACTTGCAGTTCTTACCCTGCATTGCACCAGCGCATCAATACTTCCGGCCCGTACCAGCTTTTCGGCTTCCGTTGCGAACTATTTAATCGACTGTTCCGGACACCCCCCATTCACCCGCCAGTCTTCCTTGCTACTCCCTACAAGACTCATCGTCGTCTACGCACCGAGTACATCGATCCATACAAACGAACCACTCTTCAACTCCACAAAACCGCACAAACAACCATCAAAATGCCTGCCTCAGCCGCCTCCGCATTCAACCCCCGCCAGCGCCTCTCCATCTTCACAAACTCGACTCTCGGTCACGATGTCAGCGCAGCTTTCAAGGCATCTTCAAGCCCGAGCTCGCGCTCCATGGAGGTCAACGAGACTCCCGCACCACCGCCATCGCCCGTCGACTTCAGCTTCCCCAGCACACCAGCCGACAGCCGGAGGGGTAGCTCGGGCTCAAACTAGAGCGCCATACTCTTCTCTTCCATCTTCTTACTTCTTTGCACTTAGCGGGCTTGGTTTGGGTACTTGATGTGGCGTTGGATGCTTGGGGTTGTACATTGACATGGCTTTTTTGCGCGTTGATCGCTGCGTGCCTTTATTCTTGGTTTCACAGTATTCTTCACCACTCTTTGTTTTGCTTCTTATTCCCCGTTGACTTTGGCAACTTCCAATACTATACTATATTTTGGCACATTTTGGAGGGCTTAGATGTGGCGGCTACATAGCCGCGAGGCTGGCTGGCTTTTACTATTCGGTAACGAGATATGCATCAATCAACTATATACCCAACTTCACGTTCATTCGCACCGCGTTCTCATCCCTCAAATGATCTTATTTGATACTTTCAATTTCACGTAAAACGCAACGTGTCCCTTGGGCACCGTCACTAGAAATTACCCGCCGGTATACACGCAAGACGCTGAGTTCATCAAACGACGTCACCACAAACTATCAGGCTTACACAAAACACAAAGCATCCCCCAGACAATGTCATCAACCCCTTCCACTCCCATATCACGATCCCCCCAGTCTCTCCAACAAACTTCACTAGTCCCCACACCCGAAACAGTCAGGCACGTCTCTCAGAAACAAGCATTCAACCCTGAATTTCATACTCGAACTCAGCTTGTATCCACCCACGCTACGCTGCGGCATCATACTGGTCATGGCATCTTACAGTCGACATCATAGTACCCTACTACCCCACATCATAACCTCACACTAACCCCACACTACACGGACTACCTCCACACTATATACACCAACTACCACAACTACCGCAACACTATTTTCCCTGTATCTCACACTGGATTTAACCCTAAACCCATTCCTCAACCCTTCATCCCACTCCAACGTCATCACCCACCCATCCAACACTGTCTCGTCAGCACCTGTGGCTCACAAGGCAGCCCAGTCAGCCGTGGCGGTACTTGTACTTGAGGCAAACTGCTTACTACCCACCGCACGGTCGGTTGGTGTTCTCTTAGGGCCATGACACGTGCCTGGCCCGACGCGAATGTTTCCTGAGAAACTTGAGGTGAGGTGAGATGAGCTTACCTGAGATTCTAGGCGTGGGCGTTGGGTGTGTTGGATGGAGAGAGAATGTAGGAGAAGCAAGATGACAGGGTTTTGTACATGTTGGTGGAAGTGAGTGTATGAAAACTTATAGGCGGGTGAATCATACGTGGGGTGAGGGATGGACGGTATAGTGAGACGAAGGGCATTGTGGATGTGAAGTCATTCGGCGCTTTACTCGGCGTGTTGGAATGCTATATCGTGGAGTTGATGTAGTGGCAAACGGACTGATCATTTTATCTTGGAAATGTAAAACGTTGCAATAGTCTTGCTCGATATCTGTACATGGTATTTTATACATAGATGAACGTGAAGTCCATATTCTGGGCAGCAGGCAACTACTCATCCCTACTAGTCCGTCTTCAATGCTCTCGCGGCGAAGCCTGTGCGATCTCATCCGTAAGTGCATCCTCTACTGCCTCAATACTATCGTCATCCTTGCGTTTCGCTCTCCGTAAAAAGTTGGAAGGAGCATCGTGATATGACTGAAGCCCAGCATACTTCCTAATCCTCGGCGCCCCCTTCTCACCCGCTACAATCGGCTCCTCATTCTTGGCAAAGTGTTTAGAGATAGTAACGCCTTCGGGTGTCTCTGATCCGACTCTCCTAAAGATACTCACATCTTCCGGGCGGCTCGCTCTCAGCTCTTTGATTTTCAGACTCAGCCCAGCTTGGGAGCGCTTTGGACCGGGGTCTTTGCGTAGACGCAGGAGTTCCGGGGTACCCTGCAGTGGGGTTCCAGCTTTGATGGCGGAGTCGACGGCGTATTTGAGGTCGGATTCGTATTCTGAGGCTGAGTCCATCATCTCGTGGATGCTGACCCAGTTCTGGAATCGGAGTTCATCTAGAGGTATGCCAGTGGTACTCGTTGGGAGCTGCTCTGGTGAATCAGGTGCGGGTGGTGGTAGAGGTGGCTGATGCGGGTCAAGGGTGAACTCGTCGTATACTGCCCGCAGATCTCCCGTATTGCTTAGAGAAGGATGTTCGGGATCCAAATGCATGTACAATGGGGAGTTGCGGAGATCGAGCGGTTGGCCGGACATGACGACAGCTTCGATATTCTTCATCTGAGCCTTGAGTGCGTCCAGCTCTGCAGTCAGATCTTCCATGCTCGTGTATTGGTATACTTCGTGGAGTGCTGATGGAGTCTCGGGCATCTCGATCTGCTGGATAAGGTAGCGCTCGGTGTTGTCGCTGATGGCATATGGCAACTTCAAAATCTGGTTTCGGAAGAAGTCCCCGAGGCCAGCTCTTCTGCAAGCTTTGGTGAAGGTAATCCAATCCTCGAACGAGATCTGTGCACTGTCTGCTTCGGCTGTCAACACAATGTTGGACCAATATTCCTTGACCATATTCTTGTCTTTGAGCAAGCCAGCCGTCGTCAAGGCTGTTCTTTTTCCAATCAGCCCAAATCGGAGGCCAGCCGCTGCCATGTCTTGAAGAGTAGTTTCCAGTAAACTTGGGACACGCAGTTTGCCTGAGATGGAGATTAAAGCCTCGAATGGTTGAAGGCTGGGTGGCATGCCAGCTTGTATCAGCTCAGACAGCATCTGATGCGCTGTGGCAACAAGGGTGTCACGCATCTTCGCAGCTTCTCCGATGTAGTCTTCACCCGGGGTGGGTTCTGGCAAGATTTGTTCGAAGGCGCGGAAAAGAGAACCCACGTGGATACTTTCAATATTTCCTCCGGCTTCTAGGTGCCCATATATCGCATTTGCGATGGCGCGAAGTAGCATGAGTCGATCGGCCATGGATTGCGAGGCTTTCATCGCAGCTCGCAACTTTGTGATGAGGGCGGTGACATGTGTCGGCCTCATGGCGATGCCAGCTCGGCAGGCTATCATGAAGGCTGTGTAGCCCTCGGATATAGGCCTCTCCGTCATGAAGAGTTCAAAGTAGCGTGGCGGGGTCTGTGTGGGGTATATGCGCAGTGCAGTGTCCAAGGCCAGATAGGCATTCTTCCAATCACGCGCCAGCATACGTGCCGTGAGTATACCTTGAAGGAGAATGGTAGGAATGCCGGAGATTGTAGTGAGTCGGGTTCGGTCGGGGACGATGGCGTCGGGGGAGAGATGGTATTCGGCAAAGGTGCCAGGGAAGCGCTTCAGTCCTTCGGAGTAGAGATTCTCCATGTCTGGAAGGCTCATAAGTCGTCCATATGCCATGAGCTCGATGGCTGCACCATAAGCAGCCTGCGACACGTGCTGCTCGCCCTGTTCGACCAGCCACTGCCAGAGGGCATACCCCTCACCGAAGCGCTTGCAGTCCTTGTAGATGCCGAACAGGTGGACGTAGGCGTAGGGATGGGGCTCGAGCTTTCCTCTGCGTAGATCGCTCACTACCTGCTGGACGAATGGGAAGATTTCGTCTCGCTTGGCTGGAGTGTTTTCGTTTCGTAGGCGAACGTGCAGGACTTGGGTGATGCGCCGGGTATCGTAGGCAGTGAAGAGGCCTGCTGCGAGTAGGGTGGAGTAGCAGTCCATGACATGCTGGACATCTCGGAGGTCGCAGGCTTGTCGGAATTTCCTGACTAGGCGGAGTTGCTGGTGTTGTGAGCGCAGCCTCCAGAAGCTGTGATGAGTCTTACCTCTTGTTCTTCCTCGGATAGAGCGGGGGGTCTGGTCCCCAGCTTCCCTTGTTTGTGATCAATTTTCCTGATTAGGCTTTTCTTCTTCTTTGCCGTCTTTGTTGTCTTCGCGGTCGCATACGTCGCCCTCTGGAAGCGTGGGCATGGCGGGCACTGTACTGATGCCGCTGCGGCGGGTACAGCAGTGCGGAGAAGACGAGGCGCAAGGAACGGCGCTGATGGACACACGAGAGACGCGAGCGAATTTCGCGATATTCTGTGCATAGTTGCGGTATGGTCGCTTCAATGTTTGGGATGCGCCCGCTGCAGTCGTCGGTCGCATCATCTCAAAAGTTCAGACGACGCGCTAGGCCCAGGCCCACGACCTCCGTGATTGGCCGCTTCTCCGCAAGCAGACACCTGTGCTGTCTCCCAAAACCCCCCACCGCGTCCACAACAGCGCCGACCCATTGACGCCTACACGATCCAGTCCACACCTCCTCCGCCATGTCGCGCCCGCTTTCTCTCTTCAGCGTCCAGGCGATCCTGGTCCTCGCCATCGACGACGGCTCCCGCATCCTCACCAAGTACTACTCGAACCCGCACCCGCCAGCCGGCCACCAGAATGACTACCCCGGCCAGATCGCGTACAAGACAGTGAAGGATCAGAAGGCCTTTGAGAAGGGGCTGCTGGGTGGGTAGATCACGTGGTTGTAAAGCTACCGGCCTGTTCGTCTGACACGTTGCACAGAGAAGACGGCCAAGCAGACGACGGATATCATATTATATGACGGCAAGGTCATTGTCTTCAAAATGGAGTCAGACGTCATGCTCTACGTGGTTGGAAGCGCGGACGAGAACGAAGTCTTGTTATACAGGTACGGTCATGGCACGGCTGAGTGCTGAGCTAGAGCTAACACTTGTCCAGCGTCGTTCTCGCGTTAAGAGACTCTCTCAACATCCTCCTAAAGTACGTCTAATTCAGACTGCCTCATCGACTCACCTAACACGTCGCAGGAACTCGGTCGATAAGCGCACCGTTATCGAGAACTATGACCTCGTGGTACGTAACAGTAGTCACGACTTCCATATCTTGCTTCAACTAACCTTCATAGTCCCTCGCCGTAGACGAGCTCGTAGACGACGGCATCATCCTCGAAACCGACCCCGTCATTGTTGCCTCGCGTGTCAGCAAGCCCCCGGCGCAAGACATGACCTCGATGAAGAACATCGACCTCTCGGAACAAGGTTTCTTGAACGCATGGGAGTTTGGTAAGCGCCAGCTGGCTGAGAGGATACGGCAAGGCCTTTAGGCACATTTTGTTTGCTGGGCATGGCGTTGTCGGAGTTTGGGATAAAATGCGTGTGGCATTGTGACTGGTATGGCCAGCGTGGCGCATGTAGAGTAGGTAGCGCACCGCAAAGATAAAAGACCCGATGAATATATCCAGCTTCTACTGACGCCTCGGGCAGAGTGTGAGTTATACTATGCAAAAGTGAAGAGGGTTGTTAGTAAGCGTCCGGGCCAGGAACCATTTCCATTTTCCCATGACCCTTGCAATCGCGCTATTCGCACACCTTCGTCATCGCCGCAGCCCACCATCAATCGCCGACCCCACTAACCACAGACTCTTCACACAACACCACCATGAAGCAGAGGTTTTCCAGCTTGGACGTCAAGGTGAGTAATTCACAGTTCCCCAATGCAAACATACAACTAACAGTGAAAAGGTCATAGCCCACGAGCTCTCCGCAAAACTCACCTCACTGCGAGTCACAAATGTCTATGACTTGAGCTCGGTATGCTTGGACTGCCTGACACAACACCCCCTGGAGTCATGTGCTGACACACACAGCGAATCTTTCTCATCAAATTCCACAAGCCCGACCACCGTGAACAGCTCCTCATCGATTCCGGCTTCCGCTGCCACCTTACCGAATATGCGCGAACCACAGCCGCTGCGCCTTCTGGCTTTGTCGCAAAGCTGCGCAAATACCTGAAGACTAGGCGAATCACATCCATCACTCAGATCGGTACCGACCGCATCCTCGAGTTCCAATTCTCCGATGGATTATACAGGCTGTACTTGGAGTTCTACGCTGGCGGCAACATTGTTTTGACAGACGCGGATCTGAATGTCTTGTCTCTACTACGCAATGTTGACGAAGGCGAGGAACACGAGAGGCTCAGGGTCGGTTTGAAGTACAACCTTACCCTGCGACAAAACTATGGTGGCGCCCCGGAGCTTACTAAGGATCGAGTGCGCCAGGGGCTGCAGAAGGCGGTCGATAAACAACAAGATCAGCCTGCGGCGACAGGGAAGAAGGCGAAGAAGGCAGGAAAAGATTCGCTGAGGAAGGCGCTCGCCGTCTCCATCACCGAATGCCCCCCTCTGCTGGTAGACCATGCGCTGCACATCGCGAACTTCGATTCGACCCTGAAACCGGAGGAGGTACTCGCTGATGATGCTCTTCTGGAGAAGCTTGTCGTGGTGCTCCAGAACGCGCGAAAGATCACGGATGAGATCACGACACCAGACCAGATCAAGGGCTACATCCTCGCCAAGCCAAACCCCTCCGCAGCCCCAGCCGACGACGAAGCCTCCGAGAAATCGAGAGTCCTCTACGACGACTTCCATCCATTCCGTCCAGCGCAATTCGAGAACTCGGACTACACCTTCCTAGAATTTGACGGATTCAACAAAGCGGTGGATGAGTTCTTCTCCTCGATAGAAGGACAGAAGCTGGAATCAAAGTTGACCGAGCGCGAACAACAGGCCAAGAAGAAGCTGGAAAAGGCGCGCAAAGAGCACGAAGACCGAATCGGTGGATTGCAGCAAGTGCAAAACCTCAACTTCCGCAAGGCAGAAGCGATATTGGCAAATGTACATCGTGTCACAGAAGCTACTGAAGCCGTCAATGGGTTGATCAGACAAGGCATGGACTGGGTTGATATCGCGCGTTTGATCGAGCGTGAACAGAACTCTGGAAACGCAGTCGCACAGCTCATCAAGCTACCACTAAAGCTGCACGAGAATACAGTCACGCTACTGCTGGATGAGACCAACTGGGAAGAGGGAGGAGACGAAGAAGACGAGGGCAATGAGACAAGTTCTGTCAGCGAAGACACCGACGACGAAGACGAGGCCCCTAAGAAGCATGCCCCCACCCCAGCCGTATCCGCTCGGCCTCAATTGGCTATCGACATCGACCTCGCTTTGACCGCTTGGGCGAACTCAACCGAGTACTTTGACCAAAAGAAGACGGCCGCTAACAAAGAAGACCGCACACTGCAAGCATCCACCAAGGCGTTGAAGAGCCACGAAAAGAAGGTAAACGAGGACCTGAAGAAGGGGTTGAAGCAAGAGAAGGAGGTGTTGCGACCAGTGCGCAAGCAGCAGTGGTTTGAGAAGTTCATATACTTCATTTCCTCTGATGGCTATCTGGTCCTCGGAGGTAAAGATGCCCAGCAGAACGAGATCATTTACCGACGTTTCCTACGCAAGGGAGACGTATACGTCCATGCCGACATCAAAGGAGCGATGCCGATGATCATCAAAAACAAGCCCGATATGTCTGACGCTCCCATTCCTCCATCGACACTCTCTCAAGCAGGCAATCTCTGTATCTGTTCATCTGAGGCATGGGATTCGAAGGCGGTCATGTCAGCTTGGTGGGTTCGCAGTAACCAAGTCAGCAAAACAGGCCAGACCGGCGAATTTCTTCCAGCCGGCATGTTCAATGTCAAGGGCAAGAAGGAATTCTTACCACCGGCCCAGCTGGTCGTCGGCCTTGCTGTCATGTTTGAGATCAGCGATTCAAGTAAAGCCAATCACCACAAACATCGTTTGCAAGACACTGCAGTGTCTGCCGCGGAGATGGACAACGAACCCGCAGACGAATCGAAAACAGCAGAGGCGTCAAAGACCGACAACAGCGACGACGATGAGGACTTCCCAGACGCCAAGATCGAGTCAGATTCAGAAGACGACTTCCCCGATGCCAAGATGGAGCAGACTGAAGAGAGCGATGCCGAATCTGAGGCTGCGGCACCCAGGAGCAATCCTCTGCAGTCCAGAACAACAGACGCCAAGGACGACTCTGATGATGAAGATGAGCCGGCAGCTGCTAAGGATGATGACGAGTATGCCATGTCTGGTGGTAGCAATGGTTCCGCTCTGAACGAAGAGCCTCAAGAAGATGCAGGCTCTGTAGCAGATACTGAGCGGGCGCCAAAGTCCACTGGTAAGCGCCAGTTGTCTGCAAGAGAACGTCGCCTTGCGAGGAAGGGCCAACTACAGGACTTGCCCCAGGTCCCCTCCGACGCAAAGCCTGCAGCTGATGATGCTGATGAAGACGACAACTCATCGGCAGAAGACGGTAGCGCAAAGAGTCCGCCTAAAGCACCCGGCACAGTGACGACGCAAAACAACAAGCCAAAGAACGCCCCACTGCCTCGAGGCAAGCGCGCAAAAGCAAAGAAGCAGGCCGCAAAGTACGCTGCACAAGACGAAGAAGACCGTGAATTAGCAATGCGCCTACTGGGTTCCAAATCTGGGCAGCAGGCTGCCGAAGCGGCTGCTCAAGAGAAGCGTCAGAAGGAAGAGCAGGCACAAGCTGACAAGCAACGGCGCCGGGAACAGCATCTCCGTGCCCAAGCCGCAGGCAAAGCAGCTGAAGAAGCACGCCTACGCGCCCTCGAGAACGCCGAAGAAGACGAGGAAGGCGACGAAGTCCTCAAGACAAACCTGCAGAACCTCGACGCGTTCACAGGCCGCCCCCTCCCCAACGACGAACTGCTCACCGCCATCCCCGTATGCGCACCCTGGTCGGCCCTCTCCACCTACAAGTACAAAGCCAAGATCCAACCGGGCTCTACGAAACGCGGTAAAGCAGTGAAAGAGGTCCTTGCTATTTGGGACCACGCTGGGAAAGACACCAAGGCGCTGGATAAGACCAGTCAGGATGTCGAGCGTATCTGGCCCAAGGAGATTGAGATGATACGCGGGTGGAAAGAAACGGAAGTTGTGGGTGTGGTACCGGTTAGTAAGGTGCGGGTCATGATTGCTGGTGGCCGCCGGGGTGCCGATATCGCGAAGGGGAAGAAGAAGAGTGCGAGGGGCGGGAGGGGTTCGAAGAAGAAGTGAGTGATGTAGGCGATTGCAC